AGAACGATATGTCCTATGCGGGTGCCAGTGTTGAGACTGCTCCGGGAACTCACCTCACCCATGTTAAAGTTATCAACGCTTGGGAGTCTGCTCAGTTAGTCAGTTGCTGGACGCGTGCGTTTCGACACACTCGAGCTCTGGCGGGATAGCACTCCATACGTCTAGGTAGTGCACAGTTGAAGTCGTTTACGCGTCTGCTAGTAAGACCAGGCGATGGGTTGGGGTGACCTCAGTCCCGCCAGTCTGGTAAAAACAACTCGACATATTTTGATGTCTGAATGCTGCATGGCTCAGCGTCCATGCCCAGCCTGACTACGAACAGATGACCATCACTAGGGGCAAAGTAGGCTTTCCGTTTTGCCTTGGATCTACTGCCCTCGTGGCCGATCACACAGCGAGGACCACCAAAGCTAAGCGATACTGTGGTGGCTGTCCGCCATTCTTCAGCCTTCAGCCGAGTATGATGGTAAGTTTAGCGGAAACTGACACCCCAGGCGGTAATGTTTCCTCAGAACCGACTGCTTTTTGACACTTTCGTCGGGCCATTCACATCCCACTCCTGAAGTTCATGCTTGCATGGTTACTGCTTGCTTCGGTTAGACAAACGTCTGGCTTTGGCTGTCTGTCCCGGAAATGATACTTTCGACAGTATGTTCGGCGCACTCTCATTTAGTTCGACTGCAATCGTTTCAACAGACGTTTTGGCTATCAATCCTAGTTATTTGCCTAGTGGTAGAGTACAATAGAAAATTTCGGAAAAGGAAAGCGTGATAACCTAATGCAGCATCATACTGGGACCTACCTCTATTGATATCGTGCAAAATTTAATCACACTGACGTCCTGTTGTACGGACATGGTTCAACACTTGAACGATTCAGGGCTAAGTAGGCAATACATAGCTCCAAATTGTGCGTGGGATGACATTATTGGAGGTTAGTCCTGCTGCCATTATTCTCGCGGGCATTACGAACAGAACTTAACAATGACGTTGGAGTGTTGCTCGGGGTTCCCGCGTTCCTGGCATATCGTGCTACTTGGGGACTAATTACAGGGGGGGGGGGTTCAGTCTATCCCAAATTCGTCCGACGTCCACGGCCTACTTTCATCCCACTCTCCCTTTAAACTTGATCGGCCGGCCGTGTGGAAAACAATGTAACAGCCGTCGTTAGAGTTTGTAGAAGCGGTGGAACCTATGCTGTACCGGCATGTCTTTGCTATCCCTAACAAAACTGCTGTCGTTTTCTTAACCCCACCCCCAACCGGACAGGATCGTCACCATAGTGGCGAATAGTTGCATTCCAAACTTCCAGGTCCCAACCCCCGGTCGCTCAATGTCCACATCAGCTCTGCCGAGTTCCAGCCTAGCACCTGGCGGTGGCGTTGTGCCGACCAATCCCCGTGACCAGAAAAACAACCAACAGCAGTCAGCCAACGCAGCTCCCATTCCGTCCAAATAGTAGCGTCGCGTTCCTCTCTCTTACCCCCTAGCGTCCCGAAACATCGAGTATTCCTGTTTCACGCACCCCCTCCATCCCTGTCCTCTGTTTGAGACTCTGTATAGAACTTGCGGAGCGTGTACCGTCGTCTATGTATGTACTCCTCTGCGGCGGCGGCGGCGGCGGCGGCGGCGGCGGTGGTGGTCACGCGCACTCCGCCACCGTGGGGCCTTGCCTGCTGTTGACGCGAAAGCATCAGTAGCACGACCTCAACCGCGTGTGCTTGCGCGCCGGCTCCGTTTTACTCCTGTCCCACCCACCCACCCTACGCTCGGCGACTGGGGGGGGCAAGTGGCAGCTTTGCGTGTGCAGTGTGTGTGTGTGTCCTCAAAACGGGCCACGTGTTAGATGCGCTGGACCAACACGGGGGCCACATCGGACTCTGGCAGGCGTTATCTGTGTGCGTCCGAGCCATCCACCTCCGGTCTTCTTGACTCTGTCTTGACACCGGGCCCAGTAGGGGGAGGAGGAGAGAGTGTAGGTAGATGCTACGCAAGTCTACGGACATTATAAACCCCTGCGTAAGTCACCGTCCCTGCTCCCACAATGCAGTCTGTGGGGCACACGGTGGACATCGTCGAAATCGACGGTCGAACTGTCGTGTGTGTGTGAGTGTGTGTGTGTGTGTGTGTGTGTGTGTGGGGTGTAGGGGTGTCCAGCGGTGGGTTCACGTGAAGGTCGTAGTGGTCGCTCACTTGCTTGCAGGTGAGACTGCGCCTAGCGTCCATTTGCTGGCACCCAACTCTCACCTGTGGCTCCACGTAGCTGGGCTAAGCTCAGCGGCCACACCCCGGGCAACCGTCTCGACCGGCGGGCTAAACCAGGTGAGGGTATCCGTGCGAGCACCTGCACGCGCGGTGCTGTGGTCTGCGCTGGCCGGATGGATCTTCGCGTCGACATCGTCGAGACGAGGCTCTGCCTGGACCATCGCAGGAGGCCACCAGGCAAGTTCCCCCTCAGGTAAGTGCGTTTGCTTTGTTTCTTCGTTTTGTTTGTTGAAGTTCCGCGTCGTACGCTGCGCTTGCTGTCTGCCCTTTATATGCTAGTCTGTCTGTTAATAGCTAAACGACACCCTCGATGCCTCCTGCGATTGTCTGTCCGTCAGTCTATGCCACTCTCTTCTAGCTAGGTGTTACGGTGCTTGACTTTGTGTGGTGCCCTCACTCTGTCTCTGACTGATGACTGTGTCCGCTTGTCCACTCTAGTTCTAAGTCCCACAGCGTTAGGTAGTGTGTATGCTCTCTCCTACTTCACTCCATCACATCATCACCTCACCACCAAGGTCCCGGGCTAATTCGGGTCGTTCTCTCACTAACAAAAAGTCGTGGCCCATAGTGGAGTCCGGCAGCCGTCTGGGATAACCGGGCAGCCCTGTTCAGGGATGCGTTGCCTGCCCCCGCGAGGGGGAGGGGGCTAGAAAAGGTGCCCTAAAGATCGCTGGGAACCACGCTGTCTGTAGGCTGGCCGTGGCCGCAGACAGAAAAACACACGGTCGAAACAACCAAAACCGAAACAACAACAACAACAACAACAACAACAACAACAACAACAACAACAACAACAACAACAATCGCTCTCTTCCTCTTCCAGCCTATTATTCTTCTTCTTCTCCTACTCCTACTATTCGCCGCCGCAGTCGCCAGACTGGCAGGGTGAGCCCGCTCAATCTGGCAGCCTGGAATGTTCGTTCCCTTTTAGACAATCCGAGGAGCAACCGACCGGAACGGAGGACGGCGCTAGTGGCACGAGAACTGGCGCGCTACAAGGTGGACATCGCCGCACTCAGCGAGACCCGATTCTCCGAATAAGGCCAACTGGAGGAGGTGGGTGCCGGCTACACCTTCTTCTGGAGTGGTCGACCCAAAGCAGAGCGACGAGACGCGGGTGTCGCCTTCGCCATCCGGAACGACATCGTGGGACGACTGCCCTGTCTGCCGCAGGGTATCAACGATCGCCTGATGGGCCTCCGCCTGCCCCTCCGGCGAGGAGGCAAGTTCGCCACCATCATCAGCGCCTACGCTCCGCCGATGACCAGTTCCGACGCCGTCAGAGACAAATTCTACGAGGACCTGCACGCCCTCTTGGCGACTGTGTCGAAGGCGGACAAGTTGATTGTCCTTGGTGACTTCAACGCCCGCGTCGGCACAGACCATACTGCCTGGAGGGGAGTGCTGGGTCCTCACGGTCTCCGCGGCTCCAACGACAACGGCCTGCTTCTCCTCCGCACCTGCGCAGAACACCGCCTCATCCTGACGAACACGTTCTTCTGTCTGCCGGAGCGTGAGAAGGCCACCTGGAGGCATCCTCGGTCGCGTCAGTGGCACCTGCTGGACTATGTCCTCGTCCGGAGGCGAGATCAGCGGGACGTGCTGGTGACGAAGGCGGTCGCGGGTGCTGACGGGTGGACCGACCATCGCCTCGTCATCTCGAAGATGCGTATTCGCCTACAGCCTCGCAGGAGACCACAAGGTAAGCGACCCCCAGGTAAGCTGAATGTTGCTTTGTTGTCTTTGTCTGCTCACCGTCTCCATTTCAGCAATGAGCTAGCTCAACGGCTAGACAACCTTCCTATCGCTGCCGCCGCCGACGACGCCGCCGTCGCCGCTGCCGAGAACGCCTCCGTGGAGAACCGCTGGTGTCAGCTGCGAGACACGGTCCAGTCGACGGCTCTCGCCGTACTCGGTCACGCTCCCCGCCAACACCAGGACTGGTTCGACGACAACGACGCTGCCATCAGCAATCTGCTTGCCGAGAAGAACCGCCTACACAAAGCCTACGTTGATCACCCCACTGAGGACAACAAAGCTGCCTTCTACCGCAGTCGCCGACAGCTTCAGCAACGACTGCGCGAGATGCAGGACGCCTGGACTGCTCGCAAAGCTGAGGAGATCCAAGGCTACGCGGACCGCAACGAATGGAAGAACTTCTTCTCCGCGATCAAAGCTGTCTACGGTCCGCCGACGAAGGGCACTGCTCCTCTCCTCAGCGCCGACTGCAGCACTCTCCTGACTGAGAAGACGCAAATTCTACAGCGATGAGCCGAGCATTTCCGGAGCGTCCTCAACCGCCTATCCGTCATCTCCGACGCCGCCATCGCCCGCTTACCGCAAGTGGCGACCAACGTGGACCTCGACCTCCCGCCATCTCTCCAGGAAACCATCAGGGCCGTGCAGCAACTCTCCAGCCGGAAAGCACCCGGATCGGACGCCATCCCTGCTGAGGTCTACAAGCACGGAGGTCCCCTACTGATGGATCACCTGACTGCGCTCTTCCAGGAGATGTGGCGTCAAGGTGAAGTCCCGCAAGATTTCAAGGACGCAACTATCGTGCACCTTTAGAAGCGCAAAGGTAATCGCCAAGTCTGCGACAACCACCGCGGCATCTCCCTTCTGAACATCGCCGGGAAGACCTTCGCTCGCATCCTGCTCAACCGCCTCAACAACCATCTGGAACAGGGCCTTCTGCCGGAAAGCCAATACGGCTTCCGTCGTCATCGTGGGACCATGGATATGATCTTCGCAGCCCGCCAACTCCAAGAGAAGTGCCAGGAGATGCGAACCCACCTGTACTCTACCTTCGTGTTTCTGACGAAAGCCTTCGACACGGTGAATCGTGAAGGACTGTGGAAGATCATGCAGAAATTCGGCTGTCCGGAGCGATTCACTCAGATGGTGCGTCAGCTGCACGACGGTATGATGGCGCGAGTCACGGACAACGGAGCTGTCTCAGAGGCATTCGCAGTGACCAACGGAGTGAAGCAGGGCTGTGTGCTGTCGCCTACCCTCTTCAGTCTCATGTTCTCTGCCATGCTGATGGACGCCTACCGCGACGAACGCCCTGGAATCCGCATCGCCTACACAACGGACGGTCATCTCCTGAATCAACGGCGCATGAACTTCCAATCGCGCGTATCCACAACTACCGTGCACAAACTCCTCTTCGCCGACGACTGCGTCCTGAACACCACCTCCGAAGCGGAGATGCAACGGAGCATGGATCTATTCTCCGCCGCCTGCGAGAACTTCGGCCTGGTCATTAACACGCAGAAGACGGTGGTGATGCACCAACCGCCGCCCAACTCAGCCACAGCCCCCAACGCGCCGCCGCAAATCAGCGTGAACGGAACCCAACTGCAAGTGGTAGAGAACTTACCGTACCTGGGCAGCACCCTCTCCCGCAACACCAAGATTGATGACGAAGTCGCCAACAGGATCTCGAAAGCCAGTCAAGCCTTCGGTCGTCTCCTAAACACAGTTTGGAACCGCCACGGTCTCCAACTGAGCACGAAGCTGAAGATGTACAAGGCCGTCATCCTGCCGACGTTACTATACGGAGCAGAGACATGGACGGTGTACACGAGACAGGCACGGCGACTGAACCACTTCCACCTCAGTTGTCTCCGTCGCATCCTGAGGCTGAACTGGCAGGATCGAATCCCCGACACGGAAGTACTGGAACGAACGGGAATCCTCAGCATCTATGCCATACTGAAACAAATGCAGCTGCGCTGGAGCGGCCACCTGGTGCGCATGGACGACGAGCGACTACCCAAACGACTCTTCTACAGAGACGTCGTGACGGGTTCTCGTCGTCAAGGAGGCCAAATTCGCCGTTACAAGGATACTCTGAAGTCCTCCCTGAAGCGCCTGCAAATCAACCCGACCAACTGGGAAGAGCTCGCTCGCGATCGTCCGACATGGAGAAGAACAGTGAAGACGGGCGCTGCTATCTATGAAGCCAACCGAATCGCCGCCGCCAAAGAGAAACGCGAAGCCCGCAAATCACAACTTCGCCCAGTCCGCAACGCCGCCGCACAACCTCTCCCTACGTGTCCTCGATGTCAACGGACATCCCGGGCACGAATCGGACTTGTTGGACATCTCCGAACCAACTGCACCTCTCGAACTGCTCCAGCCATCGTCCCCCCGCCCGCCTCTTCCTCCTCTCTTCCGCCAACTAACTCTGACACTCCTTCTGTACCACCAATTCCATCCTCCTCGTCCTCGGCGTCCTCCTCCCTCTCCACTGCCCCAGCGGCGGCCGTTCAGACTGCTGTCGCACACATCACCAACACCAACACACCAACCAACATTACCTCTCCCACCTCTCCCGATACCACTGATGAGGATAAGGACTACACCTGCCCTCACTGTGACCGCAACTTCACCTCTCACATCGGCCTGGTCGGTCACTTGCGAATCCATCGCACAGAGACTGGTGAACCAGTGCCTGGAACACCAACCTACACTCACCGCACTCGCCTCCACTGCCCACACTGCCCTCGCACCTTCACGCATCGCATGGGTCTATTCGGCCACATGCGCATCCACGAGAGCGGAATTGACCGCAGCCTTGACACATCCACCCCGCCGAGCCCCACTCCCAATCCACCACCTTGTGCACCCACTAACCACTCCCCAGCCGACATCGACGCCACCGACCTTCCCACCCCTCACTCCTCCCCTTCCTCCTCCTCTTCCTCCATCACTGCCACAACAAGGGCCGCTTCGGCGTCTGTCGCCCACGACTTCACCACAGCCGAACCTGACACAACAACAGGCACAACCCCTGCAACCTCCATCATCAGACGTGAGGGCCAGGACTACATCTGCCCTCCCTGCGATCGCACCTTCACCTCACGCATCGGCCTGGTCGGTCACTTGCGAATCCATCGCACAGAGACTGGCGAACCAGTGCCTGGAGCACCAACCTACACCCACCGCACTCGCCTCCACTGCCCACACTGCCCTCGCACCTTCACGCATCGCATGGGTCTATGCGGCCACATGCGCATCCACGACGACCTGCGGTATACAACCGCCGGTCACACCACACATTCCCTCACCCCCTACCTCCTAACACCATCACCCCACCAGACATCAACCCCACACACCTCATGCACTCAACTGCCGCCTCCCACGCAAGTGGGAAGTGTGCATCTCGACTCGGTCCCCATGCGGCTTCGGCTGCACGGGTGACTTGTGTCCGAGACTATCCCGACACGTCAAGTGTCGTGGATAGGAAGGTTGCTGATTGACGCCCGCTCTCGGTTTACGCAGTTCGTCACGTTGTGTGTGTGTTGTGTGGAGTAGCGGACTGGTGGGCTGGGGGCGGGCTGCAGCAGCACCTTCCACGGCACTCTCACGCAAGTGAGAGACACGCCGTTCAACCCCCGTTGTGTGAAATCCTGGTGTTTGTGTTTGTATGGGGGGCCAGGTCGTGCCGTGGCGCGCGCAGGCATGGTCAGTCGACCATGTCAGCCACTGCGCCCATTCCCCACTCCAGTCTACTGACCGGCTCGGACAGTGGCTGGGGTGTGGGAATGGGAAGGGAGAGTGAGGTCGACGACTCACCGCACTTTCTCCTCACTATAATCAATCTGACGCGCTTGAAGCTATCACGGTGCGCTAAAAGCCGTGGCTTGGAAGGTTGCCAACTGACGGGGTACCTTGGACCTCCTCCTTGACTGGAGGCGGTCTGAGAGTCAGGCTGCAATGGCTCCTTTTTAATGTGGCCTTTATGGCATTCCCACCACAGTGTGGGATCCGAGCCAGGCGTTGGCGGCACGCCCAGGTGCGGCTTCGGCCGTGCCAGCCTCCAAATCTCTGTTGTGTTGGTTGAAATCCTGGTTATTGCTGTGTGGACTAGGGGGTGTGGTGGAACGCCAAGGTGAAGATCCGTCCGAGCCATCCACCTGCGGCCTCCCTCGTCTCCGGTCTTCTTGACTCTGTCTTGACACCGGGCCCAGGCGGGGGAGGAGGAGAGAGTGTAGGTAGATGCAGCGCAAGTCTACTGGCACTATAAACCCCTGCGTAAGTCACCGTCCTTGCTCCCACAATGCAGTCTGTGGGGCACATGGTGGACATCGTCGAAATCGACGGTCGAACTGTCGTGTGTGTGTGTGTGTGTTAGTACGGGGCGAAATTGCCCACCCCCCTTCCGTAAAAGCCTGCCTTATGTAAACCAACATACAAGTCGCCACTTAGAGACAATAATAATCTCTTGTGCGTACTGTCGCCTGTCTTATCTGTCTTCTGGTAACGATAACCGCTTCAAATGCGTGTCTTGACTTTTGTTTTCTTTTCTCTTTTTGTTTCTGGTCTAGGTCGATATTTGTTGCTTAACTGCATGGCGAACCGGCTACGTTATCCAAACTCCCGCACTTACTACTTCTCCTATACTATCCGCTACCTCTCCTCTGAACACTTCAAAGAGCAGGTGAAGGAGCAGATTAGTCGCGTGCTGATGGGACGACTGGTTGTCAATCAACCTCACCCTTGGGGCATTCTGATGATGTCAGCGGAGCTGTTGCGCAATCCTGCCTTCCGTTTCTGGGAGCATGAATTCGCACGATGTCACAGCGAAATGGAGATGTGGGTACTTTTCGCTTTTTGAATGGAAACGAGGATGCTGAAACAGGAGCTTTATTGGCCTAACGTTTCGGATTCACAGCCTGCGACTGTCTCTGATGATGTGTTCGAGGGAGCATCCGAAAAGCTGGGACAGTAAACTTTCTGTTCAGACGATCGCACCTTCTTCTAAACCGCTTCCTGGAACCCGTCATGTCAGCAATGTATCGTCCTACTCTCGCTGATCCACCCAATAGTCTGTAATTGGTAACGCCATAACACATCAGAGGCTGGTTTGGTATCCCCTTCTAAAGTAAAAAAGACACCATTCACCTCTAATGCGGGACCGGTGGTAAGAGGGTTTTTTACGGGTGGAACCGGGGAACGCAAAAGCAACGAGGTCAAGTAATTGGATGCAAAAGAAAAGCTATTGGGAATGCGCATTTGTTGGTTGAGAAGTATTTGCCCTAACGCCTAACCTCCAACCCTAACCCCTAACCCTAACCCCTAAACACCACCCATAACCCCAAGCCTAACAGTATTGTGTCCATCATGTTGGACTACATAACCACATCCTACCGAAGATTGCAGTCCGCGACTCTTCCACAGCAGTCGGCGACGGTTAAGAGCACACCAGTGACGGACCACCCTTCAAGCGATTTTGGTAAGACAGATTTATTAGGCTGGTAGTCAGCTTCTTCAGCAGCTATTAGAGGCCTGTGGTGAAGGTGGTATAACACCAGTCCAAACAGCCCTGTTTTCGGCTGCATTATTGTGCATAACACTGCCGTAGGGTTCACGGGAGTCAACAATCCGGTGACGTCAACTTCATTCATGCTGTGTTCATACAGTATGTCCAGCTTTCTAGAAATAGGTAACGACCACCGACGTTTGGCTTAAAGGGCAAGAAGTTTCCTAGAGCCAGAGCTTTCTCCAGAAAGCCCAACTTGGCAGGCTTGCATGACTTCTGGTTGATTCGGAAAGACTATGCGACTGCGTGCCAGCTATAGCAATCAAGTCCTCAGGCAAAAAGCATTAGAGATTAGGGTGCAGGCGAATTATCCTCACGTCAAGAACGGCCCTTTGCTATAGTTTTTTTATTTTAAAGATTAATATTCAAAATAAAAAACTGCCCAACCCTCACTGCCTCTTAACACCCCGTCCCTTATTTTTTTCCGCCCTGTTCTCACAGCCCACTTGTGTGAAAATACGGACTGTAATCCATTTCTTTTATTTCTCCCATGATTTGCTCGTGCTTCGTTCCCATATGAATGCACTTTCCCGACGGAAATTTATCCAGGCACGCGTTCGCCCGCTAATTGGTTTTCTGAATCCTCCTATGAGAATTTTCGCGACTCAAAAACCACATCGTTAGATTTACTGCTTTTTTAAAGTCACAGGGAGAATTTCTGAACAGAAAACGTGAATAGCACCCTCTATGTCAGCAAATGTGAACAGGTGTTAGCCTTTGAGTTGCCTCTCAAAGCCGTCTAGCCGAACATAGATTCCACGATAGCACAAAATAGGGAACATTTCACTTACTTTTCTTGCTGCGCTTGCATGTTGCGAAGATGGCGGGGCGTCTATAAACCAACGTATTCAGGAAAGTGACAGGCACAACTCGCATACTGGATCTTTACAAAAATCACTAAATTAGTCATCGATGAAGTTCCACAAGAAGCACGGTAAAAAAAAGACAGGAAAACAGGGTTTTTACTTATGATGCTCTTTTAGAGACTTCTCAGAGCCAGCGGTTAGTCGTGAGAAATCGTTAAACGACGTTGAACGCAACAAAGGAAGCGGAAGCAAGAGCATAATCAACCAAAATCGTTGCACAGCATTGCGTACATGGGGGATGTCGCCGAGGCCGTGGTTAGATACCTCCCGCCACTCAGAACAGGGGCAGCTCTCACAGCTCCGCCGGCAGTTGATGCTGCCAATAGACCCTATCCCTAAACAGGAGATTAGGCCTTTGTTTACCGACTTCAGTGCAGCTGTGGGATGCGCAACTGCGTTGGGGAAACCGGCCGGTGGCTGCAAACGCGAATGCACGAGAATCGTTTGGCGTGCGAAGGTTGGACCCAACGTCGGAGGTGGCAACCCATGCTACGCAAATAGGACGCCTCTTTAAAGTTGACGCCGTTGAGGTCGTAGGCAGAGCTGGTGATCAGACAGCAAGGCAGATGCAAGGAGTCTGGATGTCCACCGACGGCTCTGTTAACCGCCACACTTATTTGCCTTCTCCCCCCTACCTGGTTTTACGAACCATCGAGGCCGTCAAATATCTCCGCGGTCGACGAGGGCGGGGTTTACACAGGTCACGGTTAATTGCGGATCGGATGCAGCCACTCACTGGTGGGATACACATCAAACAACCTGCGCCACATAGTGACGGCTGTGCGCACGAACTTCTTCTGGTCTGTGAAGAAGATTGGTAGGCGAAATAACTGCTCGAAATGTCAGACTTCCAGTAAATCTCTCCTTGCGAACGCCTCTTTTCTTTTTTGATGTGTCACTTAAGATTATTGATTGAATGAATATGCATGCTACCTAGGCTCATAGAGGATGGCTCGGCTTTGCGAAACGCCTTATGCAAAGCCGACATGAAAAGTCAAAACTCGCCCAGTGCCAATTTTTGCGGGCTCCATTGTCAACATCTCGGATGCCGTAAGCCGCCTTCCCATGGTACCACCACCCGTGAAAACGGCAAGACAGTCCCGGTTTAATCGAAAAGCCCACAAAAATTCCGTACGAAATGTTGCGTGGTTTCGAGCAAGAGGGAGCTTCACTGAAAAGGCAAGAAGATCAGAACAAGTATCGGTGTCGCAAGGGGGGTGACGAATGACACTATTTGCCAAGTCGTGGCTCAATCGACGGGACTCGGTCACACATTCTGCTTAGAGAAGGCCAAAATCCTCACAGCAGGAGCCGTGTGATTCATAGACGATGAGTCATGGTTCTCTGTGGCCAGCGCGGCGCGGGAAGCGCGCAGGCGAGCTCTGTTTTGCTCTGGCAGTGCTCGTGGGCCAAACGGCCTAGTCATTATTTTGCCAATAATCAACGCTGGTAGTCAAATTACGGTGATGAAGGACTCCGATGCGGACGGCTTAATCATTATTGCGCCAAACACGAGTAGTCGTGGTGACTATCGAAACTGGTAGTTGTAGTGGGCGTGTTTTGACTATTCGCCCCTCCCCCCTCCTACAACGGCTCATGTGGGAGTTGCGTTGGAGCAACACGGGACCAGATTATGGGTGTGGCGACACGTCTAGGCGTGGGCTCACGCCGCGCCGACTACTAGAGCCTGAGCTCACCCACGGTCTTCTTGATCCTGTCCTGACACCGGGCTCAGGCGTGTAAGGAGGGCAGAGTGCGATAGATGCGGCGCAAGTCTGCCATCAGCATAAACTCATTCACGCACAAGTCGCCGTCCTTGTGGTCACCCTGCTGTGAGGCACATGGTTGATCTCGTCGGGAACAACGGTCTAACTGTCGTGGAGACAAGCAAACGTCTTTTTAGAGTTGCTTGGCCGCCAAGGCAGTCATTCCTTCCAGTTTGTTGCGTCACTGATTATGGGGCTTGTGAATTAATCCAAAGAGCCAACCGTTTTTCTACTATTCTCCTCCTC